AGTTGTGAGTTCAAATCCATACCTGATTTGACAACTCTGACTTTAGCCAAAACTCTCTGAGTAAATTCATAATGTATATTAAGACAGCATTAAGACATCACATCAATAAATAACATCTCCCCCAATATGTTTATTTTGTGATGCCCTGTATATGATCGCTAAGAATATGCCAACTCCAGTGCTATCGAAGAAGGCTTTTAGCCATGAAAAAGCCACCATTTCCAGAAGATCACACAGTGATAACCAGCTATTCATTCTATCTCAATACATATGTCCCCAGAGTTTTCTAAGAGAAGTTATATCTTCCAGGCTTGGAAAAGACTGAAAATGAGGGTACCAGGAATGGGTCTCTAGAGAGGACTCTCCAGACTGATAAATAAATAAATAATTAAAAAAAAAAACTTGGCACCTATAATTCTACAATTCTCAGAATAATTTAGGAATAACATAGCTTCCACCCAAGTTATCTCGACTCTCTTGGCATTAATCACATATATAAACAATCAATGCACAGAAATGCTTTAATATTTTTAGAGGTTTTTGCCATAGAGCATGTGAATTCCCCAGAGAGGGAGAGAGGCAGAGACAATGAGAGAGAAAGTGAGAAATCATCCCCCAGGGAGGAAAGCCATGACACAATCACTTCTCTTCCATTCTCCTCCCAGGGTCTTGGGCACACACACACTTGTGCTTGGCCTGAGTTTCAGGCCACCAGGTCCAGGACTTGAACTACAGTCAGCCATGTGGGAATTCAGTGACATAACTGCTATACCATATGCTCTTCCCTATATTTTAATCTTATTATTATTTACTTTCAATAACTGTATCCTAACAGCATATCAAATGAATTTTCCCATCATGAATATACTGGTCAAAGATATTACTATACACATTATAATCAACAGATTTCTCTCCATTTTGGGTCCCTTAATTGTTTCTTTCTTCTTCTCCTTGATTCCCTTCCTCTCACCTTTCCCCATTTCCCACCTTCCCCCTGCACTGTCTGCACTGTCTCCATTGCTCTCCATGTTAATTCTACATGAGTCAAATTTTAAAAACTTGATGAAAACTCCAAATGCTACAAGTCTCATGGCACAGTCAGCAAAGATAATGGACAGATGCAATCACATCATCCCAAGAAGTGACCATTTCAGAGCTAGCTGGCTCACTATAACATGTTCTGGGGAGTTTACCTGGACCAGGCAGCTATTTTTTTTCTGAGACATGCCTTAACTCTCATTAAGGAAGTTATCTGATTATCTGGGACTTCAATTTTAGAAGAAGGTTTGAGAAGTCTTGCTTCCCTTTCTCAAAAAGCATGCTATTTCATGGGACCAGCAGATGGTGTAGTGGTTATGTCACTGGACTCCCACATGGTCAACTGTGGTTTGAGTCCTGAACCCAGTGGCTTCACACTGGGTGCATATGCGTGCATGCCCACGATCCCAAGAGGAGGATGGAGAAGGGATTGCAGAATGGCCATGCGCCCTGGGGAGTGACTTCTCACTCCCCCCACAACTGTCTCTGTCTCTCTCTCAGGTGAGCATACGAGCACTAAGTTAAAAAAAAAGAAAACCTCAAATAAATAAATAAATAAAGATTATTTCCTAAAGTCTTCCATTCTATAACCAAGCTTCAGAAGGTTTGACTATTTTTTCCATTAAAAAAAAAAAACAACAACCTGGTAGCATAATGGCTACCTCTCTGGACTCCCATGTAGTCGACCATGGTTCACGTCCCAGACCCGATGGCTTAAAACTCACGCCGGGCTCGTGTGCATGCATGCCCAAGATCCCAAGAGGAGAACAGAGGAGAAGGGACTGCGGCGTGCCATCCCCCCTAGGGGGTGATTTCTCGCTTTCTATCCCTCTGTCTGTCTGGTGAGCACACGTACCCTATAGCAAAAACCTCTCAAAAAAAAAAAAAAAGAAAAAGAAAAAAAAAACCTGTATACATAGTATATTAGACTAGTTTGAAACTTTTTTAGGATTTTTATACTTTTAAAGTAAATTTTATAGACCCAGTGCATAGGAAGCCCAGGTTTAGACCTCAGCCCAATCTAAACAGCTGGGGTACAATGGCACACACCTGAAGTCCTAAATAATGAGGAGGTTAGGCAAGAGGATTATGACATGGGAAGACCTTGTCCAAATACCTGCTTACCTCTACCCTCTCCTATCTCCCTTCTCTCTCTTTCTCGATCATAAAAATGAAAGAAAATACATAGAACAGATGTTTTTCAAAGATTACCAGCTGTTAATTTGTTCAGCTACCTCTGACCCTCTTCTGTCCTGCTCCTGCTCCAATAACTAAGGAGAATTGTAGAATTCTGGACCCTGAATTACAGGGAGGAAAGAATAAACATCAGGGCTTTGGAATAGTTCTTAACCTGAAGTTTTCCAATTGCCAAATGAAAATTGCACCACCAATGAAGCAGTGCTGTCCTGAGAATTAAATGTTGGAAAATTTAACTGGTCAATTCATGTTAGCCTTTTGCCTCCTATTTGCTGATCTGTATGGTATTTTCAAGAATCCTGCCCTGGGGCAGTAGATTGCATAGTGGTTATGTCACTGCACTCCACATGGCCGACCACGGTTCAAGTTCCAGACCTGGTGGCTTCAAACACACACGGGGGTGCCCAAGATCCAAGGAGAAGAATGGAGGAGAAGGGACTGCAGCATGACCATCCCCCGGGAGGGGGGGATTGGGGGGGGGTGATTTCTCACCTTCCCTTACACTGTCTGTGTCTTTCTCTCTCACTCCAGTGAGTGCAAAAACCTCTAAAAATTTTTTAATATAAAAAAAAAAAGAATACTGCCTTTTTCAGCATTATGTCACTTTAAAAAGTTTTGGCCAACACACTGAGTTTAGACTCCTCAATGAGATCACTCTTACAGTTCCATGCTTAGGTTTTGCTGTCGTGAAGACCAAAGAGCTGGACTGACAAAGCATCAGACCTTCCTACTTTCCTGCCCTCTACTTGTAGATCTGGCATCCCAAGCACTGGTTCTCTGTGGACCCAGAAATACCTGTGAATACCCAAAGGCATTTCAGGTTGTATATATACGTATCATATGAAATATATGTATACACACACACACACACATATATATACACACACATATATACACACACAATATATATATATATGTGTGTGTGTGTGTGTAGGTATGTGTGTGTGAGGAAGTTTTTGCCTTAGGACACGTGTGCTTACCAGAGAGAAACAAAGACAGGGAGAGGAAAAGTGAAAAATCACTCCCCAGGGGGAATAGCTTCACTGCAATCCTTTCTCCTCCATTCTCCTGCTAAGATCTTGGGCAAGCATGCACACGCACCCAAGGTGAGTTTCAAACCACCAGGTCCAGGACTCGAACCACTGGCGGCCATGTAGGAGTCCAGCAGCGTAACCACTACACCATATGCTGACCCCCAGGTTATAATTGGATTCCAGGAGGAAATTACTCAATGATAAGGAGATTCTTGATATTTGATTTTAAATTCAGAAACTTACATATATGTATGCACAGTCAACCTTTAAAGAGAAGCAAAAGAGCACACGGAAGAGCATGAACTTTTGAATTATGTTCTAAGGGTAACTAACCAGATGACCTCAATCAAGACCTTGATGTCCCCAACTCTCAATCTCTTCATCTATAAAACAGGAGAATCATGCCCTCCTTATCAAGATGTTTTAGGATTGAGTGAGATTAAAAAATATATATTAAATATTTTTGTTATTTGGGAAATACACACGTCTATTATTTATGTAAAATTATTATTCTCAGAAACATGTTAGAATATTATCTTAAGTGATGTACATTGGTATATTTCTTAGGTAAGTGAAGTGAAAATAGAGATATCCAACCATTATTTGCTTATACTCTAAGCACTAATGGCTTCCAGAAATTTAATTGACCAAATATTTTTTATTTTACTATATGCTACTTAGAGTAAGATACAATATGAGAAAAATCCCAGTCATATTCTCAAAGGAATGATCATGTAGCAACAGGAAATGAACACTGAAATAAAGCTAGGAAGGCCTTCAAGGATTCCCGCTGAGTGCTGTGGGAGTTCAAAGGAGGAGAAACTTACATCCAAGTAGGATAATCATGGGAGCTTCCTAAAGGTAACAGCATTTCACATAGGCCTGGGAAGGTCGAAAGTATGTTAACAGGTAGCGATGAGGAAAATATTATAGGTAGAAGGCACAAGGGATGCTCAGAAAACAGTAACACAGGGTATAATTGGGGGAGAGGGGGAATCTCAAACATTCAAATCATATGAGTTGCCTCTACTTTCTACCCTACCCATTCACCTCTCAGAACCAAAGACTCAAGCTCTCCAAACCAAAAGGATATATGGCCACTGTTTTCTGAGACAGTCTTCTTGTTCCTTCTCACCATTCCAAGACTGACAGCTTTCTGGAAAAGTTCATTCTTTCCAGACCAGCCAATCTGTTTCAAGGTCACTGTCAGATATAAAGTTTAACGTAAGACTCAACATATTCCATCCTAGAGTCCCTTTTAGTCCTTTCCAGTCCCATGAATGATTAAACTAAATTTCAAGAAAGAAGAATAGTCCAGCCACAGTAATGTAGTGGTTACATGAATGCCAAGGAGGGCTGGAAGTCATGTGGTAACTGCAGATTTGGATCCCCAGGTCAGCCTGAAAACATGCCAGATGGATTAGTAGCCACCAAGGACCTTGAGGATCTGGAGACCTGGGGAAGAGGGATCACAGCATGATGAGATCTCACCAAGGATGGTTTCTCTCTCTTTCATGTATATGTGTATTCTCATGTTTGAGGGAGAAAGAATGAAGAGAAAGAAAGAGAGAGGAAGAAACAGAAGGAAAAAAGAAGGGTAGAAAGGAAGGAGAAAAAAGAGAATAAAAGGATCAACCTAAGGCCACTACACTAGGTAAGTAGAGACAGAGTGAGATCTTATGTGCTCAGTTTCCTATCCTCTACACCCTATAATTTTCCTAATTAAACCATCTATTTTTCTTCCCAAATCACTTTCCTTCCCATGAGTCTCTTCATGGCATTTTTCACTTCGGCATTTCTGAAGGAATAAATGACAGGGTTTAAAAGAGGCGTGACTACTGTATAAAACACAGCAACTATCTTGTCCACAGGGAGGGTGACACAGGGCCTCATGTAGACAAAGGAGCAGGGTATGAAGAAGAGGCCCACCACTGCAACATGAGAGGCACAGGTGGAAAGTGCCTTGCGCCGTCCTTCCAAGGTGTGGCTCCTCAGAGAATGCAGGATGACAATGTATGAAGCAAGCAGCACCACGAAGCTGATTACCGAAATAGAGCCACCGTTGGTGATGATTAGCAGCCCAATGAGAAAGGTGTCTGAGCAGGCCAATTTTAGCATTGGGTGGACATCACAGAAGTAGTGATCAATGAGATTGGGGCCACAGAAGGGCAGCTGGAAAATGAGGAAGGTTTGCCCGACAGAATGCAGCAAGCCCCCACCCCATGCAGCACCCACCAGGAGGTGACGCACTCGCTGGTTCATGATGGTGGTGTAGTGCAAGGGCTTGCAGATGGCCACATAGCGGTCATAGGCCATCACTGTCAAGAGGAAGATCTCAGTGCCACCAAAGAAATGGAGGAAAAATATCTGTGTGATACAACCCTTGAGGGAAATGATTTTCCTCTCGATAAAAGAGTCAAAGATGAGCTTAGGAACTGTGACAGAACAGTAACAGATCTCTACAAAGGACAGGTAGCTGAGGAAGAAATACATGGGGGAAGTCAGCACCTTGCCAGCCATGATGGTTATCACAATAAGACTGTTGCCCAACACAATGGCTGTGTACAGGAGGAGAAATACCACAGAGATGACCTTCTGAACATCCCGGTTCCGAGAAAATCCCAAGAAAATTATTTCAGTCACATTGCTTGTAGCAGCCATGTTTTAAAGCACAGGAGATAATAGCCTGGAAGCATAAAAGTCAAAGAATTCTCCTCAGTAATTAGAAACATCTTCTCTGGTCATGAGGACTCCTATCATTCTACTGCCTCTTGAGTTCCCTTTCTGCCTTGGGATTTTCCCAAAACATGTCCTCCAAGAGATGAGTGGATAAGATGGCAATCATTGGCTGCTTGATATTATCCCCAAAATAGGCCTTGACTTTGCAGTGATGCTGCCTTGAAGTATTTCCTCTGAACTAGGCACACACACTCACTAATTTAGTCCTCACAACAAAAATGAGAGGACATTTCACAGATTTAAAAAGTGAGACTCGGGGAGGTTTAGTCACTTACTCAAGGCCACACAGCTCATATTTGAACCCAGGTCTGTATTTTTTAAAAAGTAAATGCTTCCATTACATCCAGAGAGTTCTTTATCTTGGTTGCATAACAATAGTTTCTGCTCAATCTTGCCTTATACCATAATAGAAAAAAAACAATATTTTACAGTGAGTACTATCGTTTCTGAACCCAAACTATCCTGCACCCTGTGAAACTAAACAGGTTCCCTCACAAACATAAGAAGCTGAAAGGGAGAAAGGATAGTCTCCATGTTTCAACCACTATACTTAGAGATTGATAATGAGATTGGGAAATGTGGGTTAATGACAAGTTGACTCAACGGTCTTGGGACCAGTGGCTAAAAAAAAATTCAGAAGATATTTAAGTCCCACTTTATAACAACCTATATTCCGTGAGGTTGTCATAATATGCTTAAATTGGAGCCTCCGAGAACAGCAAGACTACACAAAGAAAGCTCTAAACTGGGAATCAGGACTGCCCCCTGAAGTGACAGAATGTTAGAAGACCCCAACATCCATTACAGATGGCCCCAGACATTGACAAAAGGTGATCAGACACAGAAATTCATACCCACAGCCTTTAAAGCAGTCATTCCCCTCAGGGTAAAACAAGCCCTGACAATAAACCTGAGGATATCCTGAATTGATATTCACATACTTCATTAGACCACAAGCTTGCAGTACATGCCAACCCTCTGTGTGTGGGAGAGATCTTGGTAACAGAGATGCAGGGTTTGGAAGCAAGGGACCTGGTCCCAAGTCCCACACTAATCTTAGTAGCTGCATGACATTAAACAAGCACAGAAATCTCTCCAAGCATATCATTTTCACCTAAAAAATGAAAAATACCTTTTGTATAGTGCTGTTTTGAGAATTGAATGAGCTCAATTAAGAGATTCATAAGTATTTTTCATTCTGCCTTTTCTTCCTGCTAGTGTGGAATGTGGTAGGGATTTATTAAGATACTCTTTCTGCAGGAGGCAGGCCAGACATAATATCTTTGCTTTTGCAAACTTGCTATGTCTCAGGATTCTGATTTAAACATCTTATAATAACCCCTTAGAGTAGCCAGTCATGTTACAAAGTGGGACTGAACATGCTAAATGACATGCTAAGCCAGTCACATAGAGAAAAACACTTTATGACTCCACTTATATGTGGTATCTAGGGGAGTCAAATTCATAGAGACAAAGTAAGACAGTAGTTATCAAGAGCTGGGGGGCTGGGGAAGGAGAGAATGTGGAGTTATTGATTAATGGTGAAGTTTCAGTTCAGGGCAATAAAACATGTTCTGAAAATGGATGGGGTGATAGATGCACAACAGTGTGAATGGACTTCCATACCACTGAACTTTACTCTTAAAGATAGTTAAGATGGGGCCAGTAGGTGCCATGATGGTTAAGATGCTGGACTCCCACGTGGCTTACTGTGGTTCAAGTCTGGGATCTGGTGGCTAAAAACCACACTGTGTGTGTGTGTGTGTGTGTGTGTGTGTGTGTGTGTTCCCAAAAATCCCAGGAGGGAAATGAAGATGAGTGTGTGTGTGTTCCCAAAATCCCAGGAGGGAAATGAAGATGTAGAGACTGAAGCATGACCATCCCCCTAGGGGGTGATTTCTCACTTTCCCTCTCACTCTTTCTCCTGTGAGCATATGCATCCTATGCTACAAACCTTTTAAAAACATGGTTAAGATAGTAAATTTTGTTATATGTACTTTACAGTTTAATTAATTAATTATTAAAATGACTTTTGACATGTTATCTCCTCATACATTTCCTTTTCTCCAAACCAACCTCCAAAGACAGTGGCTGATGCTTGGTGACAGTCCTTCCCCCCTGCTTGCAGCTTTTCCTATGCCTGTCAGGAAGCCTGGTTAGCTTCACAGGTTACCAAACAATTGAGGTTGAGAATTTCTAGCATGCAATGTTTAAATCATTGCACATTACAGTGTATAGCAAGGCAGATATAATACCCTTGTTATGTAACCACTCCAAGGTACCCTGCAAAATTAATGCACTAGAAGCATTTATAAAGTTTGACAATACAGAGCTCAGTTCAAATATGAGCTGAGTAGCCTTAGACAAGTGAACCACGGTTTTCTTATCTATAAAATAAGCATAAGACTATCCTCCCACTGCTGTGCACTTCCCTTTCCTCCCCGCTATGCTCCTCTGTGTGCCTGGGTAAATCTTCTGCCATAACTGAGGTTTCACATAAGGATGTTTATGCAGAAAGCAGGGATCTTACATGGGCACGTTTCACCCTCATGGGAAAAATGTCTTTATTACCAGATGAATATTTCAGTAAAATTTATATGGAAAGCAAATGCTCTGTGTTTCTATAATTGCTTCTTATTTGGGATGTCAATGAGAAAGGCCCTTCATATCCTCTGAGATCAGAAGACCATGATAGTCCTCAGATATTAAAAAATTAGTTTTTCTTTTATCTGAGACATTGAAGATCAACAAAGCAAGACATGTAAACGATATAATTATCAAATTTTCTTAGAAAGTTTTAAATGGATTGGGACCAGCAGGTGCCATGGCAGTTTTTGCTGGACTCCCACATAACTGACTATGGTTCAAGCTCCAGATCCAGTGACTTCAAACTCATGCTGAGCATGTGTGTGTGTGTGTATGTGTGTGTGTGTGTGTGTGTGTGTGTGTGTGTGTCCAAGATCCCAAGAGAATGAAGGAGAAGGGATTGCAACATGGCCATTCCCCCTGGGGATGATTTCTCATTTTCTGTCTCTCTGTCTCTGTCTCTCTAGCAAGCACACATACCCTGTAGCAAAAATATCTCTTAAAATATAATAATTAAATGGATTTAGACTCAAAGAAAGAAAAGCATTATTGAAAGTTTAAATAGAAATGGAAAATATTTTTGTGATAATCTCATAAAGAGGTCATTGGGCCAGTCAACTATGGACAGTTTGGTGATATTTTACTTATGGGGTATAAAACAATTTTATTTCTAAGGCCAGGCAGTGACTCAGCAGTAATACAACTGGATCTACCTAGGAAAGGGTCTAGATTTATGTCCTGGAATCTCCTTGAGCACACCAAACACATACGAACCCAGTCAGCTGAGACTAGGGGTAGACCAGAGCATGAAGATTCTGTTAGGAGTATCTCTAGCTCTCTATCACCCTCTCAACAAATTTTTTTAATTTAATCATTAGTTAATTAAATTATTTTAACTGTGACTTTATTTGGCATAGCTAAAGAGACTCTAGAAGTTAATATGTGTTCTTATCAGACATGTTAACTGGACATCTCCAGGTTTTGCAGTTATGAAAATCCAGAACAGAGATAAGCAGGCACAGAAACTAGGGACTCACAGTGGATTTAAAGCCCAGTGTTTGAGATGTCCTGAGGTCTCCAAGTCAAATCCTCTGAAAAGATTTTCTCTTCTAACAGAATACTTGGACCAGTATAGATGCACAATGTGTAGTTAATTGATTTTACAAGAGAAAAATACTGACCTAATTTTGTTTTAAAAAATAAATAAGTAAAGGACCAGCAGATAGTGTAGTGGCTATGTCACTGAACTATGTCGCTGGACTCCCATGTAGTTAATCGCAGTTTGAGTCCCAGACCCAGTGGCTTAAATTCATGCCAGGCATGTGTGCGTGTGTGACCAAGACCCCGAAAAGAGAATGGAGGAGAAGGGATTGCGGCATGGTCATTCTCCCTGGGGGCGGGGGGGGGATGATTTCTCACTTTCTGTCTCTCTGTTGCTCTCTTTTTGGCGAGCACAAGCACCCTATAGCAAAAACCTCTCCCAAATAAATAAATAAATAGGGATGAACAAAGATGCTTAAGATCGACAGACTATAATAAACAACTTTTGTGGACAATTTAAAAAAAAAATTTAATACTTGCCAGAAGGTGTATGTCTTGCTGGAGGGAGACAGAGAGAAGGAAAGTGAGAAATCACCACCCCCTCCCCACATCTCGCAAAGAAATAGTCACACTGTAATCCCTCCTCCTCCATTTCTCCCTCCTTTTGGGATTTTGGGCATGATTGTTTTTCAAGCCTCAGGATCCAGGAATCCAATCACACAGTTAGCGATCTAGGATCCAGGACCTGGAACCCATTAGACTAGGGACTGGCCTGAATAATTTTCAAATGTTTAAAATGAATATAGTGCCACTCCCATAGCACAGTGGTTAAGTGCTGTGCAGAGAGGGCCAGATCCCACATGGCTGCCCACAGTTCACATTTTGGCCCTGATGGCTTAGAAAACATATAGGCTTGTGTTTACACTTAACAGAATGGACAGAAAGAAAAAAAAAAAAACTATAGTAAGCATAAAAAAGCATAGTAAGTATAGTAAGCATATAAAAAGCATATAGCAGGCATATAAAAAGCACAACCGGGCCCCACTGGGGAGTTTGGGGGATTACTTCACTCTCTCCATCTCTCTCTTTCTCTCTCTCTCTCTCTCTCGTACACATATCCTCTGGAATATTAATTAATTAATTTTAAAATTAACCTAGTTCTTACTTTCTGATTTCCCATTTTACTTTTCCTAGCATAGAATCTTACGTGCTATGGTTTTTCTGTTAATATCTTTTTAAGAATTACTTTATTTAACTTTATTTATTTATTTAATTTGACCAGAAAGCGACAAAAT